TTCCAACTCTCTCAATTTATGGCATTTTAAAATAAAAAATATGCATTTAAGAGTTAAGAGAGAATTTTATATTGCTTACAAGATAAATATTTTGAACATAAATATTCAATAAGTTTTTATTACATTGATAAATGTATTTATTGCTAAAACTTTTCCAGGAAAGGTAAAAGCAAAAAAAAAATTCAAAAAAGGCATGGGGATGACCTCTAGCAAGCCTATTTTAGAGCCAAGCTAAGAAATGCTGATTTAGAATATAAACATATGATAAATAAATATAAGTTAGAAATGCAAATACTTAAATTAAGATAAAATAAACCTGCCACTGTTAATAATAAAGATGTTTTTAAAAATAAAAGCAAGTTGAAAAAGAGAAATGTGTATTATTAAGGTGGATCTGTAAAACTCTTCCATGTTCATAATGTCCTTCTCTAACAGTGAATCGTCCTGTAAAAGTGCAATACTGCACATGATATGACGCCAGCAGGAACATTTTTGTTTAAACCCATCCCCACTTGAATGCACCTTCGTTTTAGAACGCCAAAAAGCCGTTCAACTGTGTTTCTGGTTTTACGATGGTGGTGGTGGTTCAAAGACGGTGTCCAAATACAGTACTGTTTCTTTAGACAAGCGAAACCTTGCGCGAAACTCCGCATCCGTATACTTTTCAAAAGCATCGTGGATTTTTTGGGTTTCGCCGACACACACTAGGCCTTTCATGGTCCGAAAGCGACGATAATGACGATACAGACATGGTTTCTCGTAAGGTTTTTTAAGTTTTGAGATTTGAGAGAGATTTGAGATGCCTCACGACCGCTCTTAAATTTTTGACAAACTTAAGTCGACATGACAGTTCATTTGACAGAAAAATGACACTGAGTGACGATTGAGAATACGAAATTTGGTTTGAGTGGCCTGTAAGCATCGTCTTACTTGAGTAGCCTCAAAATTGAGATGCGCCTTTAACTGACGTTTAAGAATTCCATATTGGAGTTTAAGCGTGGTCTTATCTTTTAAGACGCCGTTACATATTTGAGTGACGTTTCAGAATTCGGGCATGAGTGTCTTAAATTAATTTGCAATATGTATTTTTATTTTTTATAAAGGACTTCACCGGTCAGTGACTTGCACAGGTGCATTATTTACGAGTTCAATCCACGATATTATCAATACATTACATCAGTACTTGTATTTTACTTTTTAATTTGTTCATCGTATAAGATAATTGACTGATTTACTTTTTTTTAGCATTAGGTAGCAAAGGAGCAAACGGTCAACTACATCCGCCAAACTAACCGAGCGACCGCCCATAGAGGCAACCCAAAGATAAAGGTTTTTCCCCTTGCTATGCCTCCCCTCCTCCGACAAATTCTGTTGATATGTAAAAGATCAAATATTGTTAGTCCTATCTAGCCTATTTTGGCGGTGTCTGTAATTGAAAATACACATATAAATAAGAAGAAGCGTATAACTACGAGGCCAAACAATTCTGTGATAATAAAATTTGACTAGTATTATCATTTAATATTAAATATTAATTATTGCATTTTATAATAACTCGGGAGGTACTTTTTGCAAGAAGAAGAAATTGCGGACAAAACATTGTGTATAGAATGTATAGCAATTGAAAGGTAATAATCAGTCTGCTATTAGCGGCGTGTTCACCACCATAACGGTGGGGTTATTATTTCTACATTATTATCAATTTATACCATAAAAGGCAACCGGCAGGCGCGGGCGGTGCGCCTGCGCCTGCGCCTGCGCAGCGCTGCACTGCCAACCTGTGTAAGTGATATTTAATAGCTGCACTGATTACGAAGAAATCAGACCTACGCTGCAGTTATAAAAGGAAATACATTTTTTACTTCGTTCATATCCTTTCTCTGCAATCCTTGTTATTGCAAATATTACCTCTTTACAGTTTGTTAGCAAATAACCTTATATTTCGCAGTCTGAAATTTTTACCAATATATGCATGCTTTAATTTCTCGTTAGATCTTATATAAAAATACATTTATTCAGTACAAAATATAAGAATATAATTAACCTAATTATAAATTAAAATATAATCTTACTAAATAACTAAATACTACAAAAGTTAAGTTTAAAAATTAAGAATATCGCCTCGTAGGAATAAGAACATCTAAGAATCTATTTTAAACTATAATTGAAGTAAATACTTTTGGTCTGTTTTAATGTATGAATATGAAAGGCCTACAATACTATATTTTTATAATTCCTCGAAGGCATTCGGCGGCGGCGGACAATGTAATGCCGATGCCGGGCCGGAGCGATCCGTAACTGTTTAAACATTTCATGCGCTCGCGCAGGTTTCGAGGAACAATAATAATAATAATCGTCGTAAGTACACTGAATGGGAAATAAATTACAACAGCGCTAGTGATGTTCGTACAAAGTACACATGCATATCGATAGTTTATAGATTATCGTCCTCGTAAACGAGTTAAATTTAAATAGGTCTGTAACTTTATTCGATAACAAAAACCGATAAATCCAAGCGAACCTGTATTCAAGTCTCAAAAATCAATACATCGGTTTTTCGTGTGCTTCAATGCCCTCCTCGCACTTATCAAAACCATTGTGTGTTTCTAATGTACTTACCCACTGGTCGTTATAACATTCTCTTCAACATAATATATAAAAACATTAATCAAAAACATCGATAGATATCGACAATTCACAGGTCTAGCGCCGCCCGGGGCGTTGTGCGTTGCATACGCCGCCGTGCAGTCCGCACTGGGCCGCCGCCCGTTCATTATCTCTCTCGGCCCGCCCTAATGCAGCCCATTACAACCAATATGCCCTCCGCTAACTACTAGCCTCGCACACAGTTATTAAATTGACATTAACATCTTACGCTCGCCGCGACCGATATTGCCACCGCGACTACCACCCTCACCTTCCGAAACTTTCACTATACGACGATCCTAGATATACCAATAAAAATATTCACTTCCTCTCATCTGCAATCAATATAAATAATTCGAATGGTTTATGAACTTCAAAAATTTCACAAATATTTAGGTTTACCAGCTTTAAGGACTGTGTATTTGCACGGTGTATATTTGACGGGTTTGGATCAGAACTTAACCGTCTCTTTGCGTTCTGGTGCCCCACGCCTAAAACCACCGCAGCTCACTGACCCTTGTTACTCACAATTCACGACCTCCAGAGTTACATTCTGGAGTTCGTCGCGCGGGTTATTAGTATTCCAGATCCAGGCATTACAATCACCGATAGGACTGACACAAGTGCACCTAGCGCCATCTATCTCCTGCGAGCGATGTGTCCTCTCTCTTTGAATCCGCAACAATATTGCATAAATTATATTAAGCGCGGCATTGCGCCTCTCCTGATGTTGCCATGCGCTAATATATTATAGGACAATATTTATTTAGAAATTATTACCACTTTACTGAGGTGAAAGGTGGGAAAACAGTTCAAGCACGCCACGTGGGTGGGCCGAAAGCATGCTAATATTGCGTTTCCAAGAATGTTGTTATTATAATTATAGTATTACACCTCACAGCTCCAATATACAGGTGCAGTAGTTGGATGGCACTTTGAGTGCTTTTACGTTTTACCAAAAATAAAGCTTGCTTGTAAAGTACAATGTAAAGATATAATGAAAGTGAGAAAGCTATTATAACACGAAGTCCGCACAACATATCTCGATTCTTACACAATTTATTGCTAACGCAGTCTGCATTTGCAAAAGAAACATGCCCGCCATTGTGCACGGTCTATGAAGACATATAAAGTTATGGCGTTTTATGACGCCTTTACGAGCGCCGGCGGTGCTTTGAAGTAAGGCCGCGACCTCATTGCTGCACAGAACCTGTTGCTCTTTCTATATTTACACTATCTTTAACTGTGTTGTGCTAAAGTTATGCATAGCTTTTTACCGTTACGTAAACTGATTTGCCCATTGAGACTATAATTTGATGAAAACTCTAAACGGTAATCACTGGTAGATCTCCGTTTTTTTGGGTAGTTTTGTGAACTCCAATTGTCATTACAATTTAAAGCCTTTGTCCACTTTTTCTAGACGGTGCTAAAGTACAAAATATCTGTTGAAAATGTTATTATTAGCGTCATATAATATTTATTTCTTATGTATGTCGTCACTGTGGTAACATCGTTAGAGTGCGGCTTTAATCAAAGATACGTTTACAATTCCGAGCACGACACACACATAACATGAGCAATGTTCACGTAGCGCCGGGCAAGATACCATATAATATATTTGCAATATTAACAGACGTGTAAATGATAACAACCTGTTCTTCGAACTTGAAAAAGTAGCAATTTTGGTACTAACTATTTATGAAATGTTACATCAGAAAAAGGACAAATACTTCCAAGAAAAATGTACCCTTAAAGTCATTCTCGTTTTCTTAGTAATATGTATATAACAACATATTTTCTCATGGTTATACATAATTTTGTATATAAGTTTTGAAAATTTGTAGGGGGAACTAGTAGTAGCTTTAGGGGGCGCCACAGGTGCTTTAGTCGGACATAAATGGACGGCTGAGGCGCCCCCTAATATACTCCATGTTTGTAAGATTTCCACCTGACACTAAAAATAGGGGGCACCGCAAAATCTCGTCCAGGGCGCTACGGTGGATGTACTAAAACAGGCTCTCGTAGAAACCTACGCTTGTTAGTCGAGTTAATTATTTACTTCCAACATTATATGATTTTTCTTCTATAAAACTAAAGGGTCGTAATAAGAAAACAAAAACAAATGATTTTGTAAAGTTTATTCGATCTGTAATTAAAACTATATTGTCTATGACTTTTAAGTTAATATCTTATCACAGATAACGTAAAACGATGGGGTCAGCTTTGATTGCGTTCAGTAAAACAATTAATATACTGTGCAAATATATTTTACATCTTTATTACGTACAAAATTTACAAAACAATTTGTATATCTCACTATTACTCACTATTTTAAATACTCAGGTGTCATTTAAATATTAAAAAGTTAACGAGGTTCTATGTGATAGATATTTATTGTATTTTACTGCGACAATTACAAATATTATAGAGTATATATAAGGAACTTCTTATGTGACATATCCCTGTTTAATGACGTCATAACTGTGCAGTGTACACTGAACACTGACACATTGCGACTGATGAAGTTAATATTGCGATATAGCAGAAAGATGACAAGCAATATGACATGTTTCGTGATCACGTGCCTTGATTGATTCAAAGTTTATTTAAATTTTGATAATAACAACTACAATAAAGTTAAATTTATATAAAAACCATAGACACATCGTCAAAGGACAGGTTAAGTAAACTGTATGGTTTGCTTTACGCCATGAAGTACATTTGTTTGCAATCATTCCAAGTTTTCAAGTTAAATATCGGCAAAAAAACGAATCAATAAATAATAACAAAGTAGAGAGGTCATTGCTGACAGTGCTGGGGGGGAGGGGAGGGAGCGGTGTCATGGTACCACTATGATGGCACCATGCCGCGGTTGCGCTTGGCCTGCGCCCCCTGGCGGCGGTTGTGGTTGGCGCGCGAGGACTTGTGCTTCTCCTTGCGCTCCCTGTTCACCAGCACCTCCTTGTCCTGGCCCTGGCCCTTCGCCCGGCCCACCACGTCCGTGTTCCTGTAAACATCGATATTACTTCAGCATTCAGAATTGTGTAAGTGATACAACTGCGCGTGTGATGCAAGTAGAGAGCAGACTGACCGCGGTGCGAGTGGGCGTGTCCCCGGGCGGGCGCCGCCCCGCCGCGCCAGGTGAGCCGCCTCCCTGCGCGCGCGCACCTCCTCCGGGTTCACGCAGAAGTCCAGCCTGCTCCTACCCGCGCTCGTCGCCTCCTGCTCCTTCTGACTCACCTCCTCCTCTTCTTCCTCCGATTCGGTCTGTCAAAAATCATTTATAACTTTCAGAACATCTAAGTAATGGTGAATTATATATTTTGTAAACAAGGCGGACATAAAGTCCAATAGCAATGTTAGTTTACCTGCTGGCGGTGTTGGAGGACGCGAGGTGTGACGAAGGGTCGGCGCGCCTCGTCCGGGTCCGCGTCCGGCACCTCCGCCTGCGCCTCCGCGTCGTACGTGTCGTCATACTCGTCCGAGTACATCGCCTCCTCCTCACACACCAGACTGACAACGTATCACATCTCTCAGCACGTTGGAACTCGACAGACACATCTTAAGTGTTATATTGTACCGAAGAATTACAAAAATAAATAGTAACACTAAACAGTCAATATTCTGATATTTGAAATTGAACAGATAGAATGAAATGAAAATTATTTTTGTTAGTCTAAACAATCAAGTAAAATAAGAAAATTAGTATGTAGTAACATACTGATTTTTAAATTCAAAAATTTTGCCGTAAAAAATGAGATGTATTAATTTGGAGATTTAATTCGCAAGAGAGCGTGTAGTTGCTTACTTGTACTTGGCGTAGATATCGTGTCGAGACTTGACGTCGGTCTTGTCGTCGAGCAGCTGGGCGATGTGGCGATGTTTGTCGCGTCGCTTGCCGACATGTACGCGACGGAGGTCGACGTCGTCGCGCGTCATTATGTCGAACTCGTCGCCGTCGAACACGTTCAGCCGCTGGATGCCCGTCTCCAGGAACTTCTGCTCCACCACGTCCTCCGGGATCATCGGCAGAGATCGATCTAATCCTGGGAATTTAGTGCTATGTGTTTTAATATTGGAAAAACGTTTCAAGTGCATTTTAATAGTTATCATTACGATGATTTTGAAGATCTTGTCTATTTAGTTTTTTTTTAAATGAATAAAGGTGGTTTACCTCTTAAAGGTTCAGCTAAATTGTCTTCCAAAAGAGTGTTGATAACTCTCTCGGCGTTAAATCCATAATGTTGTAAACATTTCAATATAAACCCGTCACCTAAATGTGGCAGAATATCTTTAACTTCGCTAATCAACGACTCCTCTCTTATATTATCCGGTATCTCGTTGTCTGTGGCGGGTCCGGGCTGCGGCTTGTCTATGCTCTCAACATGGCCGTTTGTCAAAGTGACCGCGTTGTTGGTCAATATGTCATCGCTGGTCAAGATGTCGTCAGGTAAACGCTCTTCTAAATTAGAATATATCGCTTGTAATATAAAATCTGTTTTCACTGTATCACTGGAATTTAGCTAAGAAAATATAATTTACTAGTTATGAAAATAAGGTTACGAAGATATTATAGTTATTATTTTTTCAATTATTTTCTCTATATTATACATTTAATAACGTTTTTAAGTACATTTTCGGTTGTTATATTGATTTTATAATTTTGTTTACCTAGTAAATAATAGGATGCGTGTTAATCAAAGGATACATATCGGGGTAGGCCTGGCGCAGCACCTCAAGGTCGTCGTTCAGCGGGTAGCAGAGGTGGTAATCCCGGATGAACAGCTTCTCAGATAGCGCGTCCAGCACCAGGGACAGTAAGTCCTCTACGTGCCCTGATGTACTGCCTCTGAGAATATAATTTTATTCTATTAAATAAAAACTATGACAAAAAAGAAATAAAAAAGGAAAAAAGGTTCTTACTCGCCACTAAATATATTATTCTTGTAAACAGCCAGCATCTCTCTGAGTATGTCAATGAGCTCGGCGCGCGCCAGCTCCAAGTGAGCCTCCGCCTGCCCCGCCCCCTGTCCTGTCTGCNNNCAGTCCCATCTGCCCCGCCCCCGCCTCCCCCAGCCGCTCGTACAGCTTCGGGATGCCGTACTCGTACAGTTGAACTATACTGAAACATTACCTCACTGTATTCCTATAGTTCACTGTGACAATTGTACCAAAAACCACGATTAACGCAGCAAACAGCAAAACAGGCACTTATCAAGTAAGTACTAAATAACGTGTTCGCAATAAACTTTTCATTGACAAGATTCTGACAAAGCAAATTTGACTCACCTTAGAATTAAGTTAGTTTTCCTATAAATGTCCAGGGCCCTGGGGTATGTCTCTACAAATATCCTGAGCGTGACGGCGGTGTCCAGGATATGTATGACGAGGTCCTGAAGGACGTCAACCGTGAGGTTGTCTTTAGCGCTACTTGAGGGCCGCCTAATTTCGCTGAATCCTTTGAAAGTTTCGGGAAGGTTAAGCGGTTCATCACTATCGTAGTCTTTATTTACTTGAAGTATTATGAATTTGAAAGCCTTGAAAATGTGTCATCAAAAAAATATATTAATTAAATTGTAAATAAAATTACTCAATATACAAAAAAATACTCAATATTGGTTAGTAAATATATATTTAAAAGACAATGTTAGTTGATTATTTGGACATTTTTTATATTATGTAACTTATGTGATAGCTCACAAATTTGGTTCAAATTTGTAGAAAAGAAACCTTAAAAATCTGTTAAAACAAAACATTATTGGTAAGAACAAAACCATAGATTCCAGCTAAATACTTTTAAATTGCCGTACAAAGTTACTATAGTTAAAATCATTACAATCATGATAATATATAAGGACAAAAATAGCAGGTGTTATAAGTAATATTGATACTTATTTACCTCTTTCACGAATGCTATAGCGGCAGCCGTGTCCCTTTCATACTGTGGCTGAAGCTTGAACACAGCATCCAGCAGCCGGGCTACATGCTGTGCATTGTCAACTCCATATGTCAAACATATGTCCCATATCACTGGCACTGTGAACACGAACCTGTCGTATATCAACGAACCCATATATTCCTTGCTCATCCAACATATCTGAAAAGGTAACACATGTTATTACTACATTTTTATAAGGACAGAATTATGTAATAAATTATTCAAACTTTCGTTAGAAATTAACGTAAACTTATATAAAAACTGCTAAAACAATCACATATGTTCGATTGGTGGCAGCACCGACTAGTAAACTAGTAGTCTGAGCTAGACGACCAGACAAACATATATGAATGTATTTATATCATTGTTTCAGTAGTACTATCTTATTAGAGTTAAACAATAGCAATTGTTACATATTTAGGATAATTTTATCTGCATACCTTACTTTCTTTATTAGTAATTAATCTGCTAAAAATAATAAGAACCAGTCTTCTGATTTCCTCATACAGTTTCTGTACATTTTTGTTTTCATGCGGAGGCATGTATGGTGGACTAGCCTCTTGTAAGAAGGATACTAATGCATCCATACAACTTGTGTGATATAATATTGTGCTCCAAAACCTGGAAATAATTAAACATTTCTAAAGTGAAAATGTTGCTCCTATATTTCGTGCGAGTTCTACTGAGGAGATTGTTGCCAGATTCGAAATTGATAAAATAAAATAATAATCTATACCTATGATGTGGCAGTGTAAGCAGACACTTCAGGTCCTCTAAATATGATTCCATCTTCATAATCCAAGCATCAACAGCTCCTAATATAATATTGCTACTAGCAGGTGGTCGTTCATACAGAGGAAATTGTCTATCTGCCACCCAGTAAGGATCCTAAAATATTTAAAAACAGTATTCTATCTTTTAATGATTAAACACTGACACCGGTAACTTGCAGATCTTTTAACATTGTATTTTCTACAATTAGATTAAAATTTTAAAGTGGTATTTGCCCTACATTGATATTTACTTGAATTTTGTGATATTAAAGATAAAGGTTAAAAACAAGTGAGAAAGTCCATATTAAAATTAACACCAATACAAATAATATTATGAAATATCAAGTAACTTATGAATAAAACTTACCAAAGCTTTAATGTTTTGTACAACACCGTCGTTAGAAACAGACAGGGTTAACTTTTCTACTGGTAAATTGTCTGGGTTCTAAAAATATTACAAGCATGTAGATATATAATATACCTAATAAGAAACTTTTGTAACACGCCTCTGATTTTAAAAATTTTAAATAATTCATGTTCAACTTAATTAATAAAGTTTTGGTCACTTACAACAAATTCGACACGCTTGTTTGTCATTTTATATTAAAATTTGCTAAATTAATCTATATATTAGGCTGGAGTTAAATAAATTCTTGTTGCAAGCAAATTGATAGCTTACGACAGCAATATCAGGTACTGACAATTGCTGACAATTAACAAGTACTTGACTTACGTGACATTGACGTTTCTGATTGTTGTTGTTTTTATTATTCACTCGAAAGAGCAGGCAAAGGAACTAAGCCATACAGCCTTGTCTTTTTTATTTTGAATATAGAGAATTTTATAATATATAGGCCGCAGCCAAGTCTTATTTTTCTTCCTTCCATCTCTTCAAAATCCATAAAGGCCGAAGCCAAGTCTTATTTTCTTAAATTTTTCATATTTTAAAAAAGGGTAAAGGCTAAAGCCAAGTCTTTATATCATAATCTTTGGAATTTACAATCCATGTAGATTTGTCAATCCAGTATCATCCAATATTTCCAAAAACAGGGATACCATGTTTCATATCTCTTTTACAGTATGATGTATAAAATTGTAAAGCGCTAAATATGTATCAGTATTCCTAAGAATATCTTGCAGGGCACGCGGGACGCTTTCCGAATTTTCATAAACTTGCATGAGTTCTTCAATAAGTAGCAATCTAACTATAGCATACGCTGGGCAGTCAAATATTATATGTTCTGCAGTCTGATCTGATTCTGTATGGCAGAAGCTGCATGTTGCAGATGCTACTATTTTCATCCTGGAAAGATGAGCGTTCAGTCGATAATGGCCAAATCTAAGTCTGCACATTATTGTATAAAATTTTCTGCAATGATATCTTTCGTTGCGAGAAAACCAAGGAATATTTAATTCTGAATTTATTGATGCATACCAACGACCCTTTCCTGCCTCTAAAACAGCATTCCATTGCATTTTCCATTCTTCTCTTAACTGTTGTTTTAAAATTGAGTACAAATCTGTATGTGGTATTGCAACACCAGTTATTCTGTCAGTGTCAGCTGTAACTATACTTTTAGCTAATTGATCTGCACTTTCATTTCCTTGAACACCAATATGTGACGGAGTCCATAAAAATTTTACTTCCAAATTATTTTCTTTCAATTTCCACCACGAACTTTTGATTTCATATATGATGAAAGACGTTTTGGCATCCAAAGTTCTTGTCTTCAGTGCCTTCAAGACACTCATGCTATCAGAGATCAGTAACCATTTATTAGATACATGTGGGTTTTCTTCTATATATTTAAGAGCGTTTAATACAGCATAACATTCTGCAGTGTATATGCTTGCTGATGCAGAAATGGAAAGGCCACGTCCAATTTTCAGATGAGGTATGTAAAATGCACAGGCTACTTTCTTTTCAGTTTTTGAACCGTCCGTGTAAATTTGTCGACATTCATCATATGCAGATATAAGTTCGTAAACTTCTTCTTTTCTTTTCAATTTTTCATCAATATTTATGTGTATATCACTGAATTTACTTTCATAATTACCCTTATAACAAGGCCAAGTGTATGTACTTTTGTGAATATTATATTGTTCATCAAATCGAATCACTTCATGAAAGTCATGGAGGATATATGGGGCTGAGTTAGATATAGGAGACATACTATTATAATAAAATAATACTTTTTGAAAAAGAGGATGGCGAGACAAAGAATTAATATTTAATAAAAATCTAAATTTCAGATATTTAAACCTAAGTAAAATAGGAGGAGTAACACATTCAGCCTGTAAAGACACGATAGGAGTTGTTCTCATAGAACCGGTAATAAGTCTTAAATTCTTATTTTGTATAATATCTAATTTGTTTACTAGTTTTTTATTTGATGCAAAACAAAGGAAACCATACTCAAAATGACTCCTTACTAAAGACTTATATAACATTAATAATATTTTTGGATCAGCTCCCCAGTTAGTACCAGCCAAAGCTTTTAATACATTAAAAGCCTTAGAGGCTCTATCTGAAATAGAATTCACATATTTGGTCCAAGATAAATTATTTGTAAAAATTACACCTAAGAATTTTGCACAACTTTCTATGGGTAAAAATGTATTATTATAAATTATTCTAGGATTAAATGGACGAATTTTATTAAATACTAAAACTTTACTTTTCTCAGTACTAATATCTAAATTTAAGTGTGAAAAGTAAGTGTGCAATTTCTTTAAAGCCTCATTTAAAATGGTTACCAAGTTTTTGACATTTTTTCCATAGGCATATATCACCAAATCATCTGCATATTGTAAATTAGTAACATTTGATCCTAAAATAATATTTAATTTAAATATATATAAAATAAAGATAAGAGGGCTTAATATTCCTCCCTGACAAACACCTTTATAACTGAGCCTAGGGCCAATAATTGTATTATTATTATTAACTTTAGCAAAAACTTTTCTTTCATGTAAAAAATTATATATCCATTTTACAATTTTTTCAGGAATGCATAAAGACCTCAACTCTGAGGCGAGTACATCAAGATTGACATTATTAAATGCACCAACAATGTCAAAGAATATACTAATTAATACTTCATTATTATTCATTGATTTAAAGATGTCTAAATGAAGAAATGCAATACTTTCTCTAGATGACTTACAGCGCCTGAATCCAAACTGATTTGACGGTAATAGACAATTTTTTTCTATATAGAATTCTAATCTAGATTTTATAAGTTGCTCAAATATTTTACCCATGCAAGATGTAAGTGCTATAGGTCTGTAAGATTCTGCTATGTGAGGTTTTTTACCAGGCTTTAAAATGGGTATTAGACAATCTTCTTTCCAATCATTAGGAATAAGTGAATGAAACCATAACATATTATATATTTTCAAAACTATTTCTCTACAGGCAGTATTCATGTATTTTAAAACTTTATATGGAACTGAATCTAAACCACAAGTAGTGTCCTTTCTAGAGTTAATAGCTGAATTGAATTCTGTCAAGGAAAAAGGTTTGGTAAGATAATCACAATGTGTATCATTTGATGAGTGAGGAGTTAGAGGTGATTCAACTGTGTCTGGAGTATATTTTTTCAAAAATTCATTACCCCAATTAGAATTTATCACTGATGTGTTATTATGAACATAGCTTTTGTTAAACTTTTTAATGTAATTCCATACTCTAGTCAAAGGAGTAGATCTATTAAAAGTTTCACATAGTAATTTCCAGCTAAGCTGTCTTTCAGTCTTTAATGTAATTTTTTTGACAGCTTGGAGTCTTTTAAAATTAATGTAATTTCTTTCTGTGGGATCATTCTTAAATCCTAAATATGCATTTTTACAATTTAATACTGCCTGTTTGCATTTTAAATTCCACCAAGGTAGAGAAACTTTTACTTTATTTCGTTTAGGAGATTGCAATTTAACATTTTGATTAGAAGACTGATTGGATGGTATGGATTCAAGCATAGCTTGTTTAACTAGCTTTATTAAATCAGTATAACATTGTAAAGGATTACTATAATCAAAACTATAATTTCTAATTAAGTTATCTATTAAAGTTTGATATTTTGACCAATCAACTAATTTTGTGTTAATGTTATTTGATACAACTGTTTCTTGAAAAATTTGATTATTGACCGAAATTTTTGTCTTTACAGGAAAATGATAGCTACCTAGAGAGTCATCATCACATACTTGCCACTCACAAGACAGTGCCAGTGAAGATGAAACAAATGTTAAGTCTAATGCATTCTGCCTCCATCTATGAGATCCTACTGTAGTCATCTGACCATCATTCAAGAGTACAAGATTGTTGTCATCTATACTTGAAAGAACGTCCCTACCTCGTGAATCCAATTCAGTACATCCCCATATTGTATGATGGGCATTGAAATCACCAGCAACAAAGACTGGCTGTGGCAAGCTTTGAATTAAATTATCTAGTTTTGATTTGCTATAATTAATTGTTGAATTTGGGGGACAGTAAACACTAAGTAAGGTTAATAATGTATTATTGTATTGTATTTGTACAACTATATTTTGTAATGAGTCATCAGAGAATGTATTGATAATGCGAAATCCAATTTTGTTATGAAGAAGTATTGCTACTCCATTATGATCATTACCTGAATCTAAACGTACAATATTATAACCCTTAACTCTAAAATTTTGCCTAGGTTTAAGCCAAGTTTCACATAGAAGAGCAACATCTATATTGTTCTCGTATAAAAATTGTGTAAATTGAAAGCAATTTTTAATTAAACTCTGTGCATTCCATTGTAAAATGTTAAAATGATCCATAAAATATTAAATGTTAAATAATGAAATATCTATTTTGGTTTCATTGTATCTATGAGAACATCTTTAACAAGCTGAGAAGATATGGTGGTTTGTTCATTTGATTTATTAAGAGTTAATACTTTAATGACTGTATTTAAAATTATATTAATAATGTCATCATTTTTTAACAGTGACATAAGAGCATCTTTAGGATTTTTTTTGTTCAATTCAGGGAATTCATTTTTATTAAAAAGGTCAACAAATGGGGTTTTATGTAATTTAGCCTGATTTTCTTTTATTTTTTGTTTTTTAACAGGACACTGTCCAGAAATGCTTAGATGGTTACCTTTGCAGTGAATGCATACAGCTTTATCGGAAGTCATTTTACAATCTTTGTAACTATGATTTTCGGTGCAAATTGAGCATTTCATGGAATTTTTACAATACTTTGCAAGGTGGCCATACCTGAGACAGTTGTAGCATTGTTTTACTGGTGGGATATATTGGTTTACTACGAACCGCCAACCATGAAGATCGACATGGTCCGGCAAAACATTAGAAGCAAACGTGATCGCCACGGTGCCCGTCGGCTGCAGGAAACTACGTCCTGCGTCATTCTGGCGTTTTCTCATTATTCTTTTAACACATATAATCTTTCTGTAAGTTGTTAACATTGCAAAAATTCTCGAATTGGAGAGATTATTGGGAACATTAGTTATGACGCCTGTTATCTCTGTCCCAACAGCTGGGATAGAGGCCTTCATTTGGTATTCATTGAGGAATGTAACGTTATTTAAAAAAGCATTCGCTAAAGAAGGCTTTTCGAAATGAACGCCTATTTTGTATTTGTTCATGGACTGTAAATATTTAATTCCCTTATTAAATCTCTTTATATGAGTGGATAGAGACATCATGTCCCGCGTGCCGATTGGCTTTTTTTCTTCGTTTGATTCTATAAAAACTACAAAATCAACGAGGACAGAGTCCTCAGGGTACCTCCTGCTGTAATCTGATACAAAATACGGCTTATATTTACGCTGCTCTTTCTCGGAATCTTCGTCAGTACTCGTATCTACTTCTTCCTCTTCGGTCGTTTCTTCAAAAACTTCTTCTTCCGGCAATTTCTTCTTTTTACGTTTCCCCATGATGAGAGAACCCAGTAGTAATAAAACTTGTGAAAGTTTTGTGATTTTCAACAAAATAAAACGAAATTTAAAATTCTAATTTAAAAAAGGCGCCTTTCGCATTTCAACTTTCCCGCGTTTTCCGTTTCTGATTGACAATGACATTTTGGTAGACAGCTGATTATGAATGACACAAAGCGTTAATACATAAAACGGGATATTTTACATGATGGAGCTGAGACGTAAATTACTTAATTTTCGTAAACCGATAAATTTACACAATGATAGCATTATGACACCATGATAAATATTTTACAAACTTAAAATGTACCTGTCATAAGAACCTCAAATTCAAATAGGATTTGTACTTGAATGTAGCAACATCACCTGCATGTCATTTTTTAAATCAATTTTACCAACACAAACAAAAACAAGCTAACCGTCAATCGATAAACGGTGATGTCAATTTGAATTTAATTTGCGAGTTTCTTGTTGGTTTCTTGTTTTTAATAAGGTTTTTGCCTTTAATACTAGAACTATTATTATTTTGTATAAAGAGGCAACATTTGCTGTTCTTAATAATCTTGTAAATCAAGTATATTTTGTGAAATGATCAGTTGTAACAATGAAAAAATTTGGCACTGACCCTAAAGTTAAGAAAACACTTGTTAGAAACTATGAAGAAAAAGCAAAAAGCTGCTCTCGCAATCATGATGAACAAACAGCAAACTCGAATGCTATACCAAAACAAAATCTACGAAACAGACATATTCAAAACGATACTGAACTTGGTCAACCCACTTTATGTTCTAGTGAGGTTTTAGCTAATTATTTGACGGATGTGACAAAAAATCTGCCGCTTCCTCAATGTATCGAAGACAGTAATATTGATAAAGAACAAATAAATGCCAAAGTGAGTCTCAAGCCACATTATTTTTATATACTATATTTTGAGATAATGATTTTCAACATAAAAACTTTGCTTTCAACACTAATCTTCACAATTAAATTTAATAGAAGTAAACAATAAGTTTATCTTTGCTTGCTTATAATTTTAAGTTTTCTGATGTTAAATGTAAACCAAAAAATGGAGCCTTCGCTGTAAAATTTGTTTTCCCACTTCAATTACCCTCTCTAGACTATTGTATTTAAAGTTGAATGTTATTGCTTAACAAAGATCCAAGTAAGTATCTGTTGCAGTTAAGGTTCCATTTTTATGACTTGTACTTCTGCGGTGTATTATAAATATTATATTTAATTTTAGATGACCAAGAAGTTAAATTTTCATTTTAATGAAAAACTGTACAAGAATTTAGTAGAGCTAAACATAAATGCTGAAGTTCATAAAACAAGAAAGGACAGAAAGCCTCTAAGAGCATCAACTAAGAGAGACCTCGAACCAAATATTGAAGATTTTTGTCAAGATGAAAAAGAAAAAGATCTTCCGCCTACAATCCCTGTTCCTCTTTGTAATTTCAAACCTATTAAGAAAGTTGAGAATGGACAGTTACATAAATTAATTGCTTCTTTTGAAAAATTATGACATATATTTTTATGGTCCTTTATTTGGTTGTTTTAATTTATCATGGACAAATACAAATATGACGATGAAGTACAAAAATAATAACTATGCAATGATATAACTATTATAATATTAATGTTATTGGTTCATAAACGTTATTACAGTTTAATAAAATATGGTTCTACTCAATATGTCTACAATTAAATTGGGTATAAAAAGTAATTTATATATAGCAACATTAGCCAATTGTAATGATAAATCACCATTTTCAACTTGCCCATGAAATATAAAATCCCGTAAGTTGAGTAACATTATGTGAGATTCGTGAACGCGCCGCTGCCGCTGCCGCTGCCGCCGCCGACTCGCTCGCTCTCGCTCTTTCAGAAGGAGATGTGAATATACCCGTCTCTTCTATCATCTACAATTTGCCAATAATTTTGTTTCACTCAGCTGTTTCAGTCATTTTCTGACACTTGACTGTAGTGGTCGTGTTCTCGGTCCCAGAGGAAATTAATTTGTTAACTACATTTTTTCAATTGAAACTGAAATAAAGTCACCATGGCTGAAACAGAAATAATATCTAATAGTGAGAGTAACGATCAATTTTTTGAAGGCGTGGAGAAGTTAATAGAAATATGGTTTACGCCGGCTAAACAAGCAGATTTAAGGAAAATTACACGGTAAGTGAAGATTACACGATTGGCACCCTTCTTTTTACCCCTTTTACTAATAATACCTTTTTTATTTTCAAAATGCTATAATTATTTAAGGTTTATCAATTTGACATTAACTTGTCTTCAAGTTTAAGTAGATAGCAAAACTTTATATTTACGTAAGGGTTATTGTTCCTATCCGCATAGTAATAAGAAGATGTTATAGTTTTTTATCGATGTAGAGATGATGGCGATGTTTATAATGGAAGGTTCTCGAATCAGCTGTTCGGGAAGTAGGAATGCGTAGCGTAGTGGAGTCACCGGCGCGGCGCCCGGCCCGGCGTCGGCCGGGCTCGCTGGTTGGCTGGGAGAAGCCGCCGCAAAGTCCCATCGCTACATCACTAAAATGGGACCACGTGATTGCATCCTAAGAAACCTACTGTAAATTATCTACATATGATTTTAATTTTTGATTTGTAAATTATCTATCCACATAAAATAAGTTGTCTTGATAGGCAATATTATTTGGTAATTGATAAACCCACTTTTAAGGGTGCTTTTCTTTTATACTTTACATAATAATTTTATAACCACCAGTATAGGAGAATTAAACATATGAGTCTGTAGTTCTATAAAAGATTTTTAAATATATTTCATATAATTTCATTTGTTCAAGAATTGGTGGTTAAATTAAATTGTTTCCTTGGTATCTCTACATCAAAAAACTTGTAATCACAGGGCAGATTGGAAAGTTTTTGAACCTGTTTCATCTCCCTCCATGTAACAGGTTTTTGGCAAACTTAATGCACCCCAATTATTTAAAAGTCTGAGGCACAACATTGCCAACAGTTATACTTTCAACATTTAAGATAAATTTTCAGTTCAACAGAATAACATTTTATAGTGTCTTTGCAAAATCTTCTTAAACAAAAAAATAAAATTACTAGGTCTTGGTTCTCCACAAATATATTTTGAATCATCATTATAGGTTGCCTGCAACTTTGTCATTGTGTGAGCTTTACAAGATTACGGGAACAAATGTTGAGAAATTTTGAAATTTGGTTTTAAAAAGTAACTGAAATACATTATGCATACGAAATATGAAATTTTAACAAACAGACACTTCAATATTATTAATCTGTATATATTTGAAAAAATATTGCGATGATACAAAGATTGTACCGTTTCTTGTTGCAGTCAACAATGGGAGAAGGTGCTGAAGATAGTCCGTTGCGAGATAATATCTTTCACGAAGAGCGAGCAAGTCGACGCATACGTACTTAGGTAAGTGCAAAAATAAAGAACAATATTGTCTAATTTATTCATAGTATATGAACCGGATACCTCATATGCAGTTGAGGACGTTTATTTGCTACCCATATCTGTGAATGTCATTTGACGCTCGCAAAGCATTTATATTCGAATACATATAACAACATACATATTACGTGCTAAATTGCCTACATTGCTCTTATGTGACAAAGTGGGGAAGGGAATTTAATTCTGCGACGGTACAGTCAATTGACGCGTGTTTGAATCGGAAATTATTGAACAGTTTGATGTTTGTGTCCAAAGCTAAGATTTATTCCTTTTTCTAGACATCATGTCCTCTTATGTACATTTTAAATAAAGCCAGCTACACACATTCAGTTTTAACTGTACAGTCGATCTGTAAAAGTGATGATTTGTGGACAAAATGTGAACTGACAGTTTACTGTACGGTCATACAACTTTACATTTGAATTATGGGGCCAGGCTTATATATTGTAATATTCGATCATCGCCATTATCAGTAGAATCGACAAAATGTGTCAAAATGTATAGGAAAAATACGTGACATGCACTTGACACTTGACATATCTAAAGTTATTGTCAATTACATACACTTTTGACTTTTCTATTAGCAACATCGCTTATCGAATATTACTTTGTCTAGCCCACTGCGCAGTTAGGACTGAAGGTGTGCAGCGAGCCTTATATAATGAATTTGAATGTCTGCGAATCGGATCATAGTTTTTTTGTTACATGTTACCGATTTTTTTTTGAACGGATAAAATTAATTTTTTATTGGGTAAAACATGTCAGAATATGTACCTTGGTTGTCGCCTGGGAGTAGGGAGGGGCAACTACATTCCATTGAGATTCGTCGTTGTTTCGAAGTTACCTGGAAACATCCATCCATCCATCCATCCATAGAAACATTGGTATTTATTTCAATGTGACAGTATTTCGTGCGGTGTATGATATTGATTGCTATTTGCGCGCATCGCGGCGGTAGTCATTCAGACTGTGTGAGGTGCAAAGTATTTTCGTATCAAAATGAAGCAAATATTAATAACATTTTAAAATAGAAGTGCTTTGTCACGTGGACTCAATCTTCTCCGAATCATTTTATTATTACATCTTTTTCATATAAATATTACTTTTTTTAACCGACTTCTTAAAGGAGGAGGTTCTCAAGTCGTCTGTAGGTTTTTTTTTAATTGAAAGTTATGTTTTTTCCCCGTGTTAATAATGTTTGGTTTGTTAATTAACTATTAATTATGTCAGGAGTGACTTGTTTAAAAAGTTTTTAATGACTACAAAATAGCAATAAATGCTCTCTTTTATGAAATAACTGCATAATATTATACTGATATTATGTACACTTAACACCAATAATATAAGGTCATAGTTTTGATTTCAGAGAACATTCTAGAATAACATATTTCGATATTATTTTTAGATATGGTAATTAAAACAACGAAATTAAAAAAAGAATTATAGTAGCAAAAGGTCGGCGTGCTGTCACAGATATGTTGATAAGATGTCGTCACGACGTCGCATCATGTTATCTCCGTTAATTAGAACCGGGGCTTAATTAATCACAGTACACACGTACTACTACCGGCTTACAAACTTACCCACATTGATACTCAGATACTTACATTTAATATACTTTATTACATATCTATAAAATATCTAATCTCAAATCAATATTGCAGATTCAGAGATTCAATATAGTTGCGTTAAGTAAACCTGGAACGTTTTATTTTGGTGACCGTTTTTTTACATTTAGCGTCTGTTTTAGTTTAAAATACTTCTCTTCTAAATTGTAGTAGTATAATCTGAAAGATATGACATCTGGCTATGACTGATTACGCCACGTGTCCGCTGATAGGGAATTAGTTAAACTTTATCTCTCGCTGTCAGAGGTTATCACTAGACGTAGTAAATTACGCTGACCGCGCCGACGAGAGACGCGCGTGTTACTGTTGCTAAGTGCTGTCACAATATCAAATTCATCATTGGCTCACTGTTTGATAAGTTTCGTGAGGTCAACGATTGGACCTTGCACCGTGTTCCTTGTTGCGATAAATTGACAATTTTACTGAGACCTTTGCCCATTTATCACTAGTTTTTGACATCCCGTGTCTTAATATCGACTATTTTTTATTTCATAATAATTTTGTCTATAATTTTAATTGAACAGTTGATGGCTTCATCTATTGCTGATACCCTGAATTGCTAATATCATTATAATGTTTGTCATTAAATTTGATGTTAATCGTTTTAACGGCTATTTTGTTTTTATTACAAATCGCTTTGGAAGACGTACGTAAATACACGAAGGTAGAACAGTGAGGCAGTGCAGTATTTATTTAAAACACAGACGCTGAGAGTACTCCGCTTCCTCACTGTACTCGTGTGAAACTATCGTAAAGCATTTTTCTATCAGCGATAACCGCGAGTGTAGAGTACATGTGCCCTCCCGCTTGATGCATGCACTTGTCTATTTATGTTGTTCTAAAAATACAAGTATTGTATATACTAATCATTGTCTGACTCGCGTCTCACATGTATACTCTGTTGACACAACACACGGTTGTCTACTGTCTCTAATTCAAACTTTTTCGTTAGATCAGTATAGTGGTTAGAGTCAGCCAAAATATTCCTACATTAAATAGAGTGTCGGCCTGTACCGATACTCGTTGTGTTCAAACTGATTACTTCATGGAAATCTCTGTACGAACCGGCTACTTTTTGACATTCGTCAAGTTTTTGTCTTGCACTTCTTAATTTTGGCGAACCTGTTTTAAAGTATTTAAACTTTGGGCCGAGCTTAACAGGAGGTTTGGAATTTACACTGACATTTTACATTGAATAATATTGTAGCTTCATAAAAATCAATAAATATATCAGATAGCGATTATGAATATAGCTATAATTATCTTATATAATAATGTTATCACCTCTCTGTCTACGCTGTGTGTGGAAAATTCGTCAGGATGACGCGTGTTACGTGACGCGTGACGTATGATGACGTCACCGAGCTGGCACCTTGCCACTGCAGATAGTGAAAGCTAATGTCGATAAAGTTCATTTGGAGAGGATATTTTTGAAGTGTTTTAATGACTTTCATGGACAGCTTTGACAGTTGTTTAAGCATAGTGTCAGCTCTTCATAGTTATGGCCTAAAATTAAATTTAAAAAGAATCTGCAGTTATTAAATATGTCTTGAATTATTAACTAAACAATTCTGCTGGATATATATACCACTGGTTGTACGACGGTTGTGAAGTTTGAGACGCCGCTGAGTCGTATCACTGTTTTGACATTCCAAAACATTCGCTAAACTTAGAATAAGCACCCTCTGTGTTTAATTAGTGTAATAAATTAAATATAATCATTTAAATAACATACATCTTTTATGAGCTCACTATATGTTTCCACTAAATGGTCTCGGAACCTAAGATAAGTTAGGGATGAATATACAAATTTATCATAATATCAACTCCCCAGCTAACGCTTCCTTGTATGTGGGCAGGACATGAATCCACTCGAGCCAAGTCTTCAAACAAACCCAACATCTTATACGTATTATACTTATACGAGCCTCATATACGAATAATATTATCAGTTCCTTATATTATAATTAAATCCTTTCTTACTTTTTATTTTCATCTTAAATACCCTTAAAACAACTAAACCAAGACGAATCTAAAAGGAGAGCGACCTTCAGGAGTAAACCTGCACTTGTGATATTTAGGTGTATGGCGTAAAACTAAATCTGATAATCAAAAAAGTTACGTATTTTTTCTGTACATAAGACTATACAGAAATTCTGACAAGTTTCGTGACGCAGCTTGGCACGGAGCGAGTGGATATCTTTGTAATAGACGACTCCTTACATGTAGATATAACATTAATAAAATATTTTAATCAACATCGGATTCATTCAGAGAATTTCACCTCGACTGAAACCATTCTTGAGCGCGTTCACATGCCTGTTGCAACTCTTGGGCAACTTCCGTCGGCTAGGGTAAACAGACGCGAAGAAAACACCTCACTCCACACCTCACAACGCACCTCACATCATACTCCACACTTCGCCTCATGTGTCGTGTGAGAAGCGGCTATGGAAACTGTCTCTTGTATTGTGTCTGTCATTTGGCAATGAAATCGGGAGCTTTTATTTGAGGTGTAAAATATAACGGCTTTTTAAATGTATTGCTGATGATGTTACGGTGGACACGACACGAGCAGGGGGCGTGACCACTACGCACGCTGCTGTAGGTACTTCGTCACAACAAGGCAAACATCCAAGTCAAACTTTATAAATATCATTTACACATAGATAGTTCATAAAACTCACGTTATCAAAGCGTGCAACTGAAAACGCTCTTTATAAAATCGGAGATTATCTTTACGTTTCTCAACCTTTTAATGTAAACTTATATTGCGCGCGATTTCGGAATGATTAGACTTTTAAAATGGATGTACTGTCATCGCGTTGTTGTTGCCCCAGTACAGTCGTCTTAAAAAACTTTGTAATCAACATGTATTTCGAAAATAACTAGGCTATAAATATCTAGATGCGGGATTCGAACCCGCAAAAATAAACTGTATAATGTAGGTCAGCGTAAAAGATTAATTTAATATTAGGTCAGACCTGTTACACGCATCGCTAAACGAATGTTTGTAAATAACAGCTCTGATGACAAATACGTTGTCCAAACTGCCGCGACCGTGGGAAGTATTGGTCGTGACATCTTGTTACACTGACTTCCGATCATTTTTCCAGTTGTGTTAAGAATGAACTGAGGACATAATGGGATTCCTTTAAATGTTAACAAACAAATGGTGGAAACGCTTTGCCTTATTTTTACTTTATTTAACTGAGTGCTTCATCATTTTTAAGTATTTTTTTGGGTTTGCTTGAAGTGCAAGGCTGTGCCGGATACTGATAAACTTACCATCATACTTAAAATATAAAAAAGAAGTCGCAACAAGCAACCTTTTAA